AAGAACCCACCCACCACTTTAATCACACTCTAGATCTTGTTTTAAGCAAAAGACTGAGAAAGTTAAGGAATGTTCAAAAAACACCTGTTTTGAACATTCCACAGGTGAACAGATTAATTGGAAACATGATCATGATTGAGTATAAAAGGAGCATCCTGACAAGTCCATATTGCAAATTCTCTTTTGAAATCATGAATGTCATGTCCTATATCTTGTATTTGTAGTGTATTCAATTGAATATAGGTTGAAAAGGATTTGCAAATCATTGTATTCTAGTTTTATTTACGTTTTCCTGTTAAGGGTGGTGAGTTAGTGAACCCAGATGCGGACCTCTCGTTAAAGTTGAACGGTGTCTTTATTTACAGTGAAGCCAATCCACAGTTATCCACAGTGCAAGTCCCTTCAGTGCTCCTCTCCCCGTCTCCCCTCGTGTGTCCACAAAACTCCCGTGAATCAGTGAAGTCTCCCCTTCCGTCTCACCGTCTCGTTCGCGTCCTGGGAAAAGGCAAAACAGACACGATTAGCCTCCCTCCGCTATCGAACACTTTCTTTTCACTCGCTGAGCTCGAGTCACTACCAGGCTTGGTGCAATAAGATAAGATAAGATAAGATAACCTTGATTAGTCCCACACGTGGGAAATTTGTTTTGTCACAGCAGGAAGTGGACAGTGCAAAGTTATGAAGCAAAAATTAGAATACAATAAGAATAAATACAGTACACAACTGTACAGAATAGAATAAAATAAAATACTATTGTCATGAATCGCTGTGCGGCAGACAGGAGTTGGACCCAAAATGCAGGCACGAGGTTTAAACACAAAGAACTCAGCTTTATTTGCTGGCAGGAGAAAGTCATACAAAAGCAAACTAAACTCACATTGAGACATAGGGACCTCTACACAGCATGAGGGACAACACGACACTGACTCAGAGAAACACAGGGTTTAAATACACTGGGAAGTAACGAGGGGAATGAGACAAAGAAGGAGAGCACAGCTGGGAGAAATCAGGACTGACGAGACAAGCAAAGCAGGACACATTCACATAAGACACGGACCATCAAAGTAAAACAGGAAGTATCACACAGAGACGCGAACTTGACACAGTGGAGACAGCAACTAAGAAACACAGAGACATAAACCATAAGGCAGAGGACTCTAAGAACCGAGAGACACAGAGGGGAACTCAAACATGCAGACACAGACTACACAGAACAGACGGGACACAGAGAAACATGAAGGGCAAGGGATCGAAACTAGAAACCATAGAATAACTCACACAAGTACAATAATACAAACATCACAAGGAACTAAAAACGCTGGGTCAGGGGACCCAGGACCGTGACAACTATATACAGTAGAATAAAATAGAATAAACTATACAATAAGATAAAAATAGAATACGAATGCTATATACAACTGAGTAAAAATACAACGATGCCAGAAAAGATTATTGCACATTAGTCTTATTGCACATGTGTGGATGTGTGTGTTTGATCAGTTAAAGTCTTTATTGTGGAGTCTGACAGCAGTGGGGAGGAAAGACCTGTGAAATCTCTCCATCCCACACCGTGGGTGCCGCAGTCTCCCACTGAAGGAGCTGCTCAGTGCTGTCACAGTCTGCTGCATGGGGTGGGAGATGTCGTCCAACAGGGATGATTTTATTCACTGCAAACCGTTTTACTCTCCGCGGGAGTTTGCTTCATTCATCCTGGCCGCTGTTTACATCCCGCCAGATGCGGATGCGCAGGCAGCTCAGTGCGCACTCACGGAGCAGATACTGCACATGGAGCGGACATTCCCGGACTCTCTCATCATTGCTCTTGGGGACTTTAACAAAGCCAATCTGAGCCATGAGCTTCCCTAATACAAGCAGTATATTAAATGCCCGACCAGAGAGGAGAGGACATTAGACCACTGTTACAGCACGATCAGCGGGGCCTATCGTGCGGTGCCCCGCGCTTCACTCGGACTTTCTGACCACGTCATGATCCACCTGATCCCCGCGTACAGACAGAGGCTGAAGCTCTCCAAACCTGTCGTGAGGACCAAAAAACTGTGGAGCAACGAGGCTGTGGAGGAGCTTCGCACGTGTTTGGAGTCTACAGACTGGGACACAATGAAGGCTGCTTCTAACAGCTTGGACGAGTTTACGGACACTGTCACCTCCTATATCCACTTCTGTGAGGACAGCATTGTGCCATCACGCACCAGGGTGAGTTATAACAATGACAAACCCTGGTTTACTCCTAAACTCAAAAAGCTGTGGCTGGAAAAGAGAAAGGCGTTCAGAAGCGGAGACAGGGACTGCTACAAAGAGGCCAAGCACAGGTTCACTAAAGAAGTGGACATTGCTAAACATCAGCACTCTGAGAAGATGCAGCAGCAGATCTCAGAGAATGACTCGGCCTCTGTGTGGAAAGGTTTTAGGAATATCACCAACTACAAGCCTAAAACCCCCCACTCCACTGACGACTTGCTCTTGGCCAACACCCTCAACGACTTTTACTGCCGTTTTGACGAGCCATCAGGCAGCCTTCACACCTCCAACGGCCCCAACAATAGAGACACTTTGGACACTCATTCCCCCACCTCTCCCCCCTCCATAGAGCCAACACCACCTTCACCTACAACACCCCCCTCATCACCCCACACAAAAGAGGATTTCACACCACCTCCTCCCACCACAACTCTTCATATTCATGAAGCAGGTGTGAGGAAGCAGTTTAAGAGTCTGAATGCTCGAAAAGCTCCCGGCCCAGACAGTGTGTCTCCTGCCACCCTCAGACACTGTGCAAACGAGCTGGCCCCAGTGTTTTAAATCCAAGTATGATCTTAGTTTGCGTTGTCTTTTTCTTATTAACACACTTATTTTCTAATTTTTATAATAATTCCCTCATCAATGTATATGGATATAAAACTCATGTTTATAAAGCTATACACACAGAGCACACTCATCAATGATCAATTATTGGTGTGTTGTAATCAGAAAGACAGACTGATTGAGATTTCAGTAATGATGAAGAACGCAGCACAGCAAACACAGTAAACTGCTGAAACCATGTTTCAGTTTATTTATATAGCATCAACAAAAGTTTCCTCAAGGTGAGGTGTATTCCCTACAGTAACACAGAGAAAAAAGAGAAAACCCAACAATCATCTGACCCGAGGGTTTCTAAGATTTTCAGGGCCGAGTACAATAACCTCAGTTTTATCTGAATTAAGAAGCAGAAAGTTAGCGGCCATCCAGGTCTTTATGTCTTTAAGACATTCCTGCAGTTTAACTCATTGGTGTGTGTTATCTGGCTTCATAGATAGATAGAGCTGGGTGTCATCTGCATAGCAGTGAAAATGTATGTTATGCCTTCTAATGATGCTGCCTAAAGGAAGCATGTATAATGTAAACAGAATTGGTCCTAGCACTGAACCCTGTGGAACTCCATACTATGTAACAGCATGACAAGAGTTGATGCCACTAAACACAATGGAAAATCTCTGATTTAAGAGATGATTAAGCTAACTGACCCTCACTGCACTGTATTCCAGCCTTAACCCTAACCTTAATCATGTTAGATAGTGTTTCCAAAGCGATTCATGATGAGAAAGTAAGATGAATGTACATGTGTAGATTCATTCCAAATGGTTCTCATGTATCCAAACGCATAACATAAAGAATGTCATGGTCCTGGGCCATGTGGGCCCAGTATTCTTAGTTCCTTGTATTTTTGTATTTCGTTCCTTATTTAGACCATGTTTTCTGAGTTGCCCTGTTGTGTTGTTCCCTAAGTGTTTTCCCTTCATGGCTTTTACCCCCTGTGTGCCCCTCTGTGTATCTGTGAGCCCTCGTCTCTCCTTATGTTTTATTCCATGTTTCCCCTGCCCTTTATGTCTAAGTTCTCCCCGTGCTCTCTCTCCCCCCATGTGTGCCCCTCTATGTATTTATGAGCCCTCGTCTCCCTTTGTGGTTGTTTCATGTTTCCCCAGCCTGTTATGTCTGTGTTTTCCCCGTGCTCTCTCTCCTCCTGTCTGAACCTCTGTGCCTGTACCCGTCAGTGTTATGTTCACCCCGCCCTGTCTCGTTATGGTTATCTGTGTCACCTGTGTTCCCCGTGTGTTCCCACTTTCCTCGTTAACCCTCTGTGTATTTCTGTCTGCGTCTTCCTCTGTTCGGCGTCGCGTTCTCCCTCATGTTGTGTGGATCTTCCTGTGTCTTCCCGCGAGTGTTAGTTTACTTTTCCCAGTTAGTTCTGTATGTCCTGTATTCTACCGTGCCAGCATTAAAGCTGTGTTCTTTAAGTTTATCCCCGTGTCTGTGAGTCTGCATCTTGGGTCCTTCTCCTGCCTGCCACACAACGAACCATGACAAAGAAGAATTAGGTGGACAAAAGCGCAACATACCAACGATTTGTCACATAGCGTCGGTATGTTAGGTTTTGGGATTAGAACATGTTGTGTAGGCAGATTGCTCTGTGTTTAAAAAGACAGGCCGGAAAAGCAGTTAATAAGCACTGATTAAATCAAAGTAAGCATCACTCTGATTCTGAATTCAAAAAGAAGTTTCTCCACTTTGACTTACTTACTTTAACCATCAGAGCTTCTGCACAGTGTCATCAAATCTGGATGTTTGTCACTAACAGTCAATGATTTTAGTGATGAAGAAATGTGTTCACAGACAGAGGAAGAGGAAGAGGAGTGGTGTTTGTGAGGAAGTCCTGAAGGATCCAGTCTCTACCTGCTGTGGACACTGGTTCTGCAGACAATGCATCTCCTCATACTGGGACCAGTCTGTTTCATCAGGAGACTCCTCCTGTTCCCAGTGTGAAGAAAGATCCGGAACCAGAGCTGAACTGCAGACAGCCAATCAGAGCAGCTGTGTACAAAGTAAGACTGAACATCTGTCTGCTGATGGACTCATTTCTGAAAACTGGACTTCTTGTGTTGTTCATACATTGAAGAGTTTTCTTTCTGTTTTTCTTTCTTTCAGCAGATGTTGGTCTGCAGGAGGTTTTAGATGAACATAAGATCAGTCTGAGGAGGAGATGTGAACGTGTGACTGAAGGAAGTGATGAAACAGGAAGTAGAACCCTCCTGAATAGGATCTACACTGAGCTCTACATCACAGAGGGACAGAGTGAAGAGGTTCATACCCAACATGAGGTGAGGCAGCTGGAGACAGCTTCCAAGATGGACGCCCTCCATGACACTCCAATCAGGTGCCAGGACATCTTTAAAGCCTTACCTGACCAACAGAGACCCATCAGAGTGGTTCTGACCAACGGCGTGGCTGGTGTTGGAAAAACCTTCTCAGTGCAGAAGTTCACTCTGGACTGGGCAGAGGGCTTGGAGAACCAACATGTCAGTGTGGTGGTTCTGCTTTCATTCAGGGAGCTGAACCTGATCAGAGATGAGCAGTACAGTCTTCTGGAGCTGCTCCATGTTTTCCATCCAACATTACAGAAGGTCTCAGCAGAGAAGCTGGCTGTCTCTCAGCTTCTGTTCATCTTTGACGGCCTGGATGAAAGCAGACTTTCATTGGATTTCACCAACATGAAGCTGATGTCTGATGTCACACAGAAGTCATCAGTCAGTGAGCTGCTGACAAACCTCATCCAGGGGAAGCTGCTTCCCTCGGCTCTCATCTGGATAACTTCCCGACCTGTAGCAGCAAATCAGATCCCTCTTACATGTGTTGACAGGCTAACAGAAGTACGAGGATTCACTGACGCCCAGAAGGAGGAGTACTTCAGGAGGAGATTCAGTGATGAAGAGCGGTCCAGCAGAATCATCTCCCACATGAAGACATCCAGGAGCCTCCACATCATGTGTAGAATCCCAGTCTTCTGCTGGATCACTGCTACAGTTCTGGAGCACATGTTGACTACAGAGCAGAGAGGAGAGCTGCCCAAGACCCTGACTGACATGTACTCACACTTCCTGCTGGTTCAGACAAAGAGGAAGAAGAACAAGTACCACGAGGGACGTGAGACGAGTCCACAGGAGCTCACGGAGGCTGACAGGGAAGTTCTTCTGAAGCTGGGGAGGCTGGCGTTTGAACATCTGGAGAAAGGAAACATCATGTTCTACCAAGAAGACCTGGAGCAGTGTGGTCTGGATGTGACAGAGGCCTCGGTGTACTCAGGAGTTTGTACAGAGATCTTCAAAAGAGAGTGTGTGATCTTCCAGAAACCAGTCTACTGCTTTGTTCACCTGAGCATTCAGGAGTTTCTGGCTGCAGTCTACATGTTCCACTGTCACACCAACAGGAAGACAGAGGTGCTGAAGATGTTCCTGGGAAAAAAATTCAAGGAGTCATCTCTGGATATTTTTTTGATGGAAACACTAATAAAATCCTTCAGGAGTAAAAATGGCCACCTGGACCTGTTTGTCCGCTTCCTTCATGGCCTCTGTCTAGAGTCCAACCAGAGACTCTTAGGAGGTCTCCTGGGTCAGACAAAGAACAGTCCAGGAGCCATCCAGAGAGTCATTAAGAGTCTGAAGAATAACAAGAAGGTAAAAATCTCTCCTGACAGAAGCATTAACATCTTCCACTGTCTGATGGAGATGAACGACCTCTCAGTACATCAGGAGATCGAAAAGTTCCTCAAATCAGAGAAGAGATCAGAGAAGAAACTCTCTATGATCCAGTGCTCAGCCCTGGCCTTCATGCTGCAGATGTCAGAGGAGGTTCTGGATGAGCTGGACCTGCAGAAGTACAAAACTTCAAAGGAGGGACGACTGAGACTGATTCCAGCTGTGAGGAACTGCAGAAAGGTTCGGTGAGTCCAGATGTGATCATTGATAAGTGTAGGTTAGTTTAATTTTTCAAATATAAATCTGTCTTCTGTTATTAGAATCTCCTCCAAACAGCCCTCACTTATAAAGGGCTTTACAAACACAAACATTTCAGCAAACAGCTGAATTTTTCCTGTTTCAGTGCAGTTAGTCAAATAGCAAACAACCTCTGACTGCTAAAGAAACAGATGGTGAAAGTTGTCAGTATATCCCCCGTTCTTAACATAAAACTCATTGTTGCAGCACAAAAGTGATCCCCTTACACTGATTTTCAGTTTTTTAGCAAAGTTCAATCTATACTTCCTATTATAGAGGCTTATAAGTAACTTGCACCTTTAAGCCAACCTTATATATTGTCTTCTCTTTATGGTAGACTTGGATATCGATACACTTACCTCCTGGAGAGTGTTGTTCAGGTGGTTGGCTGTTGTGAAGGGGTTACTCCTTACACTGTCTTTAAGGGAAAGACCAGCCACCCTACAGAGAAAGCTTATTTCTGCCACTTTTCCGTACCCGCAATTTCGTTCTTTTGGTCACTACCCAACGCACACTCATAGGTGATGGTAGTAAACTGAGAGCTTTGTTTTGATGCTCAGCTCTCTGTTCACCTCGAAAGATCAGTACAGTGTCTGCATCACTGTGGCTGCACCAATCTCCCACTCCCTCTCCCCTCACTTGTGAATAACACCCCGAGATACTTAAACTCCCGCACTTGGGGCAAGAACTCGGTGAGCACTCCAACCTTTTCAAGCTGAGGACCATTGCCTCACATTTGGAGGTGCTAATTCTCATTCCCACCATTTCACACTTGGCTTGTGAACTGTTCCAGTGTAAGCTTGAGACCATCACCTGATGAAGCCAACAGAACCACATCATCTGCAAAAAGCAGAGATGAGATTCTGAGACCACCCAAATGGGGGATGAAGGGCGCTGTCACTCTTGGAGCTTGGCACGCGCCCTTCATCCCCCAGTTTCCATTCCAGCGCCACTGTAGATTTAGGAGCAGAGCGAGTCGTACACTCCTGTAGTCTTCCTCAACATCACTTTATTTTGGACTTTGCTGTTGTGCAAAATCTCCTCATGACGATCTCTTGGAAGTCCATTGGCACAGCCCTCTGTGGGCTGAAAGTGGTCCCTGCTTCTTACTGGTCCTCTTGAAGCCTTCTCTTCTGGTCTTCTGCATCTCAGTCTCTCCTTCCATATCCGTCATGTCATGGTCCCTGCTAATTAAAAAATGAAAACTCCCCAGAAAACCGTCTTTTGCCACATGGCCCTTGCCATGTGTCAACTTAACACAATTAGACATGCACAATAAAGTTGCGCATTGTCTCTTAGAAATTCCAGGAGTAGCTGCACTCCAAGCCTGTAGCCCTGTCATAAGAAAAAAACATTAGCCAGTGGTGTGTGCTGCTGTAAATCATGTGATTAAATCACATGATTAACCCTCAGCTGTGGAAAAAGTGATGTAGATGTTAGCACAGTGCATCTGTATGCACACTCTCTCACAGGGACATTTGCATTGTAAACAATACAAGGTCATGAATAACACACTGCTGGTAATTTCACAGACACAGAAAGTGGCATTTAAAAGGTTAAGTCGGCCCAAAGCTTCTTTCTGCTCCTGTAAAAAGAGACATACATAAACCCACCCTTTTGTCACATCTAGGTGGAGGTGCAATCTTGCATACTGGTGTCAAGTCAGTCAAGCTTTTGTCAGTCCAGTCAGTTCCCCATTTTTTATTGCTGATAGCAGAACCTCTCGTGTTGCATTAAGTTTCTAATGCCAGCAGTATGACGCCATTTCAAAAAAGAAAACAAATTTAGACTGGATTACCTCGCTGAATCCTTTTAGACAGGGACTTGCTATCTGATTGTCTCCAAAATATGTGACTTTCTCCAGAGCCCATTTTAATGTGAAGAAGCTCACCTGTGATTGTTCCCGACAACATGTTGTGTAGCGCTTTCGATTCTGATCGTGCAGGCCTGCTTAAACAAGAGAGATTACCAAAAAAAACTTGCAGTGCACAGTTCAAAAATAAAACAATGTGAAGGCCTATTTCTAGGGCTTTCCTAAGCATTCTCTTTCTCTTAGAATGACAGATCAAAACAAAACTAATTGGCAGGTTCAAAGTGGTACCAAAAGAAAATGCATCAGTAAATCCCCAAAACTTTCATCCACCAGTCACACACCTCACACAACAGCAATATTCTATTAGATGATGAGTTTCTTCCCATGTAACCACATGTGCGTCATGATAAGACCTCCCCCACACATCAGAAACAAGAAACTCAATAATCTATTAGTCTCCACTCATCTGACCCCCCTGCAGCATTCTGTTCACCCCTGCAATGATTCAATCATCCTTCCCCAAAAATAATACTAGTTCACTAATCTATGTATCACTTCTTAACCCACTAAGTGAACCGGACAAGATGATGGTAACAGAAATGCATGCTTAAAATACTATTTGATCTCCATGAGCTTCATTGCATGTGTGTTTGTGTTAGTGGGATTAAACCGTTTTTCTGTTTAATTTTTGTGTACATCTCCTCTTTGCGGTGCTCCAGACACTTTTCAATTCTCCACGCAAGGCAGTCATTTTTCTTCCCCGTTTCCTAAACCCAAATTTAATTTCTCACACTAAAACAGCTTCCTCCATGTCCTCCCCTGCTCCTTCGACTGTGGTCTCGTCTCCCCCCCTTGCAGCAGTCCAGTGAGAGTCAGTTGTCTTTCAGCTTTGTCCTGTGTTTTCCACTGTCTCATCTTGCCATTTTACTCCAAAAGTGGCAAATGTCACAATGAGACAGCCTTCTCAAAGGTCCCTTTACACACAGTGAAGTTGTAGCTTGTTGGAAACGCATCTCTATCCATCAAGTCATGATGATGCCGTTTTTCTGTTTTTCTCCTTGCTGCCGCTGTCTTGCACAGCTGCTGCTGCTGCTGGACCTTTTCTTTTACCGCTCAGGACGCTGCTGTTGTCTATTGGTCTGCAATTGTTGTTGCTTTTGGAACTGCGTTTCTTGTCTTAGGGTGAGAAACACATGGAAATTAAGCTGTAAAACAATTCAGCGAAAACTCGGCCTGAGTGTTTCTAATGGCATTAACCTATAATTTTCTTCCAACTGCTGTACGTAGAAAATTGATCCAAGTCTGCTCTTCACCTGCACGTGACACACTGAGAGACATTCATCATTCTCATCACTGCTTAAACAACACATCTCCTCTCTCTGGTTTTGAACTCTCCTTTCTTAAAAACCCAGAAAGTGAGATTGTAGTTGTTCTAGGCTGAGAATCACAAAACCATTTTCTTACTATTATTGCTTATTTTCCTCAACAATGCTGCTAAATTTCTGCCTGCAGTACCACCACCTTTTGCTAGTCGGAGACAATTCCTCTCACGCACATTTCTACACTCCTCTTTTTTCCTTTTGTTTTTTTTTTTTCATTTTCATTGTTTTTACCCCACTATTTTACAGTTTGTATACCTTACACCTTACATTAAAGTATTAACTTGTTCAACATTTCTTTTCCTTTCTCCCCAACTGTTCTTCTACCTTTCAATTGGTTCATGCTCAGGGATCTCACACAACCATTCTCTGCCATCTAACACAACATACTTTTACCCAGTTCTTACCATACAGTCACATATTGAGTTTTGTCCCTGGCCGCCTGGTGGAAGTCCCGCCACCGTACTGGATCCAGTTTCCCTTTACTACATGAGGCATCCCCCGTGAGGTTCCTTGCCAAGGAACGAACACTGCCGCACTGTAGTACGCAGAAATGGTTCCCGACAGTGTACCTGAACCGCCGTCCCTGTGGCGTACTTGGACCGAACACAGGCCTGGGGCGGCTTCTCCCCAACAAAGTGCTTGAGCCACTGTCCTTGTGATAGACCGTACCCAGCACAAGCATGGGGCCCCCAGCTGCCAGGATTTTCTCTCTGGAGACTCGAACTCTGGAGTCGGCAAGTGTTCCCCTCCTCGGCCAGACTAAAACTCTTCATGACTGTATACAAGTTAGCTACATCTCACCCATCTGCAGGAGTCCCCTCAAAGTCGATGGTCTCGGTGGTGGCTAAAACACACGGCTCCGTAACTTCTCCATTTCCTTTGCTTCAACAGTAGGACAAAGGTACCTTTTTCCTCAGGGGTGATCAGCCCATCCACAGCACCGTTGTTCAGTGACCACACGGACCATCCTGTTCATGACACCATCTTGTTTTGGAAGTTTTTCATTAAATAAAGCCTGCAGACAAGCGGTGAGCGATAGCTAACATTATTTAATCAAAACGAAGAATAGAAAACAAAGCTTGGTGGAGAGCATGCATGATCGCAGGGCAGATGGTCAGCAGAGTCTCCCTGAGCCTAGCATGGCTCTCAGTTAAATACCTTCTCCAGGAACAAAATGCAGTACACAGCTGTTTCACACCTTAAGGTTCACACAGCCTTGCTACCTCCCAGAGTCCTCAAAGAGACAAAAGACTCTTCCCGTGGAGTTGTCTGCTTCACCCCAACTTCCTTACCAGACCCCCCCCCCCCCCCCCCCCCCCATCTGTCTAACTGCATGAGTGTAAGACATGCTAAAATCCAGCGGCACTAAGGCATTATACGATAACATAATGTGAATAATACATAAATAAAAGAAATTCTTAAACAACAGCCAAACACAGTAAGAGGAGCTGAAGCACAGATGTGAAGAGCAGATGTTGATCAGATTATGACCTCACTCTGTTTTGTCTTCATGTACATTCAGTCTGTGTTTATAATGCAGATTTTCTGCTTCTATAATAACATATTTTACATTTTCTATGATCACAGACTGACTCAGTGTCGACTCTCAGAGACTCACTGTGAAGTTGTGGCCTCAGCTCTGAAGTCCAACCCCTCCCATTTGACGGAGCTGGACATGAGTTACGACGACCTGCAGGATTCATCAGTGAAGCTTCTGTGTGCTGGACTGGAGAGTCCAAACT